ATTGACATTACGGCAGCACTTAGAGATCCTATATGATATGAAGATACCACTTTTGTACCCTTTATGTGCTGTATAAAAGAATCTCTTATAGCCCCTCATGTCTCCTACACTGTAAATCGAGACAGGATAGGATAAACGGAGAAAAATGTCAAGCAGGCAGCATGGAGCAATGAAAATTCTGGATGCTCTTTTACTGACCAAATAGCAAAAAGCAAAGCAAAACTGAGAGATTTGTCAGGGAGATTTCTCACATAAAGTGACCAGAACTAGCCCTTCTTCTTCCTCAGGAGTACGGACACAGATAGACAAGATCTTATGGATCTGCCTGGAAGATTAGGTCCTTTGAGAAGTTTTTGCCCCTAACGCTTTATTAGTTTGAGTTGGGTTTTTGAAAAAAAAAAAAAATGCAGGATTAGGACTTAGCTTTGCAATGACTTTGCTTATAGATGGTTCTCATTGCATTTTAAATACTTAACAAGAAACTCTGTGTTTGGAGCCTGGAAATAGATGGTTTTTTCTTGGAAGCAGTTCAACTTCCCACGGATCTCAGAGCACTGTAGGTGTTTGTGCAAAACCAGTACGTGCAGGACAGCAGCCAATATTGTGAAAGTTTGCAAGAAGGCTCCCAACATTGTGGTTGTGCTGTTCAGCAAAGGGAAATGCAAAGAGCTGCACCCTGGTGTAGGAGAGGAGGCTGTTTATAAAGTGATTGTAATAACAGGCTTGGCTGAAGTTTTCCTGTTATCAGCTCAGGTTCTAATTATATAGACTAAAACCTTTACACAGCATTCCTTGCCCATAAAGGAATCAGAAAAGAAAAGCATTAAGCAATTCCGTTAATCATTATCATTCAGCCATTAGCTGCCTTTTTTACCTTTCCTCCCCATTTGATGCAAATTGTACTTAGAGGCCATTTCAGTTCTTTCATATTCAAATAAAATGAACAATGTATAAAAGTTATATTTTAGGTAATATTTTAAAAGCACCTTTGGAAGCACATTGGAGCTTTAGTGCCATTTACACTCCCCTGATTTTATACCTGAGCCTTTCAAAAGAAATTGGGCACTTAATGCTCTTTTTTGATCAGGATATTAAGAACACAAGCCCTATTGATATCCAGTGATACTCTGACTCCTAAGAGCTTAAATCAGCTCGAAATATTGGATTTAAGCTCTTTCATCTCTTAACTATTTTAGAAGGTTTTACTTAAGTTGCATCTAAAATGGGATCTGGAAGGTGAACAAATATATTTCAAATCTGAGTTGAATGAGGATAGTTCCCATTTGAACTTAACAAAGTGGAAAATAGAGTTCAAATCTGAGCCTGCATATAATATTAGACTTTACATATTTAGTGTGCTTTTCTCTTTTTGCTTCTGAAACTTTTAAAAGGTTCTAGCTTTCAGAATAGGCCAGTATCTGATAAGTGCAAGGCAATTGGCAAAAAAAAAAAAAAAAAAAAAAACCCACAACTGTCAGAGCTCCCAAAATGCATAATTTGCCAGCACACTAGGGTGGAAATATTTGTGTCCCAAAAAAAGTTTAGGGTAATTCAGGGGATTTTCTCTATGCTATGAATCACTTTAAGTATTCCCTTGTCATATAATTCAGTGTGAATTGACTGTTCCTTTACTGTTTGCGACTTAGAGCTTGAGGAATCACACCAGAAATGCCCTCCATGCTGGAACCATTTTGCAGTTAAATTTCTCATTTGGGATTGCTGCCCGCTTTGGCTTTTAATCAAGAAATTTGTCAAGTTCGTGGTAATGGATCCGTTTACCGACCTCACCATCACCCTCTGCATTGTGCTGAACACACTCTTCATGGCCTTGGAGCATTATAAGATGACGAAGGAGTTTGACCACATGCTTTATATAGGCAATTTGGTAAGTAAATTCATTTGAAATGCTATCTGATAGTTTAATTTCTGATTTTTAAAGTCATGGATGAGACCTTGGGAAAAGCCCTTTTTGATATGCCGTCAACAAAACTTTGCCTAGGTTAGGCAGTGGAACATTGTCAATCCTATCTGAGTGTGAAGAGAAATGAATGAACGATATGAAACCACTTTTATTAAACCAAAATATTCTAGTGCTATTAGTTGCCATTAAAGCCACATTTTTTACCCTCTTGTAGTGGTTTGCTTGTAGTTGTTTAAAATCCACTTGATTTGGGGGGAGTTTGTATTAGAAAAGGTGAAGGCAGTCTGGCTATGGTGTGATTGAGTTTCCTCTGAAGTCTGGTGGTAAAAGCTGAGATATCCTCCAGGATCAAACTCTGAAAAAGCCTAGGAAAATGGTCTCTGTTGAGTCTGAATTTGAGAAACTCACAAACGAGATGTGAACAGCCCTTTATTCCTCCCCAAATGACGGCTGCATTCCCTCAAGGTGGGATTCACCTTGCCTAACTCTGGACATCTATAGCGTAGGAGTCAGTCTGAGCGAGTTCCCTATGTCTCCCTTTAAAGTCAATGGAGAGTAATGGACAATTTTAGGGCACAATTAACCTCATGTTTTGAAGACATTTACTTTTGGAGAAGGTGGACTGTGCCCTGGAGGTCGCTGACTGTAGTGACCATCTGTCCACTGACTGTAACAGGAGCCGGCAGAGACTCTACAGATGTGGGTGTCTGCATTTAATCAGGTGAACGCTGCTCTGACAGCTCTAGGTGGGCAGAAGCAATAACCAGGCCTCTCATAGCAGTCCTAGCACACGCTGTGCATCAGGTACAAAGCTCTGGTGCTTCACTGATCCTCGCTGTATAGGTTTGCTCTATTGGGATGTGGTTCCTGAAGAGAACTTCAGGCTTTTGAACCTTTCTCCAGTTTTTAAGTGGCTGTGTCTCAGCAAATCTCTGTTATTCTGCTGGGCAAAATTCTTCTGTTTGTCTCTCCTTTGCTCCCAACACATGCTCTTGAGCTCTGTAGAAAGCAATAGATAAGAGCAGCTCAGAAAGCAACCTGGCAGGACTGCCAGCTCCCCTTTGCAACCAAGCCTTGCATGGGGTGTCTGCTCAACAATGTGTGACCTCCTCAGATGACTTAAAAATCCTGTTTGAGACCCCACTCGGGCTCATCTGAAGAATAAATGTGTCTGCTCCTTGCCCTTTTCTTGGCAGATAGCTCCTCCCTTTTGCCAGGCCACAGGCAAGGAAACTGTAGACCTGGTGCCCAGGCCAAGCTGGGCTGACCTCTGCGCCGACACAGCTGAAGAAAACAGAAACGATGAGCAGAGAGAGGGAAGAAATTGCAAAGCAGCGTAGTGTATCGTAAGGAGGATTTCTCAGCACTGCCTGGAGCTCTTTGCCTGCTTGTGCTCAAGCGAAATAAACTAATGGGCTTTTTTTTTTTTTCTGTAGTGGGCTGGTAGCCCCAGGCTCCTCTTTCTTGGGAATAGGTAGATAGGACAGACCACCCTGGCTCTGCCTCGGTAGGTTGTCTGATCTCCCCCATAACTGGATTGCAAGCAGAGCGGGTCAGAGGCAGGTAATTCCATTTTCTGGAGGATTTTGCAAAGTCATTTGTAATGAAAATGGACAATTTCGCCGTTCACTGTGGAAGGGAAGGGAGTCCCAGTCGCAGGCAGCCTGCCAGGTGGCCGCCTTCCCTAAGCCACAGGCTACTGAAGCCTTCCTCTGCCCCCATGCTGATTGCCTCTAGCCTTTCCCTTACAGCTAACCCTCTTTAAGTGATTATAGGAGCATTAAACGGGGGGAAATATTAAAAGGACAGATCTTTGGCATTTTTTCCCTCAAAGTAATTGTTTTTGAAGAAAAAGAATGAAAGTGAAATATGGACTGCATTTCTCTGGGAGCAAGAGCAGTTCTTCATCTAGCTGTCAGTCACCGGAGATCTGCTGCTCTGATTTTATCATCTACTTCATGCAATTATGCAGCACCTGCTACCTTCAAACTCCGTTAGTTCATCACTTACAGAAATCAACATTTTTGAATGTCATCATCAGGCCTTATGAGCCTATATATCTTTGCATGTTTCCTCTGTCTATGAAATTCCATTAACCAAAAACTAGGCAGATGGAGACAGATTTGCCTGATTTTTGTCTTCCTTCAGAAACTGAGATGTCTTTAGTGATATTAGAGCTTAAATAGCTTGCAACAGTAGTTAAAAGGGAATTCTTAAGATGAAATCCTCCTATCGGTGGTGGCGTATTTAGCCATCAGCACCAGCCACGTGATAACTTACTTGTTTTTTTTTTAAAAAAAGTCTTGATCATATTCAGTATCCAACCTCTTGTACCAGCACAGCAAGATGTGCACCAGGTGTGAATGAGTTCACAGGGTTGCTTTGAAATTCATACCTTGTACACGTACAAAACTCTCCATGCCTTTAGGAAGGTTCAGCTATTTTGCTATCTTGCTATGACATTTCCTTCTCGGAAAGCTATTGATTAAAATGATTTAGGTAAAGAAAGTTATCCTCCTGAGTCATTTCTCAGTGAGATGGTTGCATAATGCACACAGCGTGGTATCATCAGTTTTTAAGGCAGTCCCCTGGATACAATTTCACAGACATCCAGTTTCATGTTGCTCCCTGTCCTAGGGGGAATTGCAGAGTTCTGGTGGGACTCGCTGGGGCCTCTAACCAGAGTGACTCAGAAATTTTCAGTTTGTTAGGAATCTGAAACAGGTCATTTTTCTGGGCTCTTGGGACAGGACATTGACAGGATGACAGCCCAAACTGTTGCAATCAGGTTGTTATTTTCCTAATGAGAAAGAGTTTTTTGCATAAGGAATTCTATAAATTGGTTGTCTGGGAGAGTTTATCCATCCACTCCTGCAGCATTAGAGGGTGAAGTCAAACCTTCATCAGATGCAGGACACGACCATTTATTTTTATCCTTTAGTATCTTAACTTTCCACATCTTAATGGGCTCCACATCGTTGTTGCTGAGAGCCGATTACACTTGCTGGGATACGGAAACAAATATTCAGTTTATGAAAAGGAAACCATTTCTCCTTCAATGTGTGTTACTGAGATATTAGCTCTGGATCTGACCCTTTCCAATCTACATGGAACATTGATATTCGCTGTTTCATGGAAGATCATGTGTTTGTTTAGATATAAAATTTCAAAATATACTTTTTCAAAATACAGTACCGCATGCACCTTGTACTGGGACTCAGAATGGAAATAAAATGGCATAAAAGAACTTGATGCCCACATTTTGTCATTTAAGTTTAAACCCTGTGTTGTGGGTTTAAATTGCTGTTTAGGGCAGGCATATGGAAGTGCAAGATCTGATTCTCTTAGATGCTTTGCAGGGATGAGTTTAAACTGAGTTTGCTGTCAACAGCCTTCCTTTCTCCTCTTCCTCTGTCTCACAGGTAATATTTATGTGTTGTTTTAAAGAAAAATGTTCCAATTAAAAGTTTCACCATATGACATTTGAACCGGGTCATAAATAAGCAGTGTGTTCTCAAGATTCTGTGAAGAGAAAATTGCAGTGACTATTCATAAGAGGAAAAAAAAAAAAGGCTTGGACCGAAATTAGAGTCTGTAATCACCTTCTATACTGACAATAACCTAAAAATGATTGGAGGCTTGTATTGCCCTGGTATTGATAAAATAACAAAATAAAAAGGGATAATGCAACAGGTACGCTACAAACAAAATACCCCTTTAATGCTCCAGCTTCATTCATTCAGACTTCTCCACTGAAATGAACAGATTTAACCTTTATAAAAGGCACCTTTACACTTTCTTTTTTATCACCGAGACTTCAGATGATGGAAGGAGATGGAAATGTATGTTCTAATAAAGAGCTTGAACCCAGATGTCATCGTATGTTTACAGCAATATCAAGTATCATTGTGAAAAGACTAGGCGAGCTCAGAATTGTAATGCTGGCAAAGAACCAGACCTGAAAATGAGGCATTTGCTTGTAAAATGTTTTTGTCTCTCTCCTACGCTCTCCTGTGTGTCTGCAGAAAGTCAGCTAAAAAATGTGTTCAAAAAGTTACCTTCACTTCCTATTTTCTTCCTGCAGGTCTTCACTGGGATTTTTACAGCAGAAATGATCTTCAAAATAATTGCCCTTGACCCCTACTACTATTTTCAGCAGGGCTGGAATATTTTTGACAGCATAATTGTCATACTAAGTCTGATGGAACTGGGCTTATCCAGCATGGGAAACCTGTCTGTTTTGCGCTCTTTTCGATTGGTAATATTCTTATTCTGCTCTTATATGTCTTATTCTGTTACATATGCCTGCTGACATGAATGCAATGCATTTTCTTAAAAATGCATCTACTGATAAAGAATTTAATTGCTGCAAACTAGTGAAGAATATGGGATGCTAATTACAGACCATGGGACAAAAGGAGTTGTTCCGAATTTATATCAGGGTAATGAGAACATAATTTGATTACTTCTAGCTGTGCCAGGTACTTGTAGCACCCTTCAGGTGTTTGAGTTCCAATTTGTAAGGAAAATCTGCCATTTTTGTACCTGTTAGCATAAAGGCAGCACATAATTGATGGCGTAAGAAATGCAAGATCTAGTAACACGTTGTTTTAGAACTTGTTATTCCTGAACTATGTTATAAACATGCCACCGTGCTTTTAAATGTTGTGAAAAGAAAATGTCTTTGAATTATTCACAGAGTGACTTTTTTTTTCCCCTAGAACCAATCAACAGAGCATCTGTCTTTCCCAGGAACTCCTTAGCTGTCAGCTCCTTTGTTATGCATGGGATAGTGGTATTCTATTAATGAGAGACTGTCGGCATATTGGAACAGAAAAGTAGTTTCCTTGCCAGCCTGACATTTGTGTTGCATTTCATGTACCAGGATGTCCATGCTAATTGTTCTGGCCATAATATGCCAGAAAAAGACCAGGAAAATAAGTCTTTATGGTTACAATTAGTGAAAGTCTTTTTTTTTTTCTTTTTCCTTTCAAAAATTTTTGGTGCTGTGTGAAAATGTCTATTTTTTCCCCAGTGCTGCTAGAGCCTGAGAGTCTCCTGTAAGTTTTTGAGCAATCCCTGTTCAATATGATTGAAATTAAACCTTTGGTTGAAAATATAGTACAAGGGCTCTGAACCATTTCCATCCCCAAAATAGGTCTTAAGTGGGACGTGGGTTGTGCATAGACTGCATGATCCTCGACACGGAGGTGATTTTCACCCTGGGAGCCAACAGCAAATAGCATCTGGCTGCGGTTTGCTCTAAAACACAGAGGAATTGCTTCTCTCTTTGCAGGATCAAGCCCTAATCCCCTTCCCCCAGGTGCCTGTCAGGTTGTTTAATTTGAGGAGGATAAGGAGCACAGAAAAAGAAATGCTATAACCGCCTCTTCCATCTTCTGCACACCTTGATACCCAGAAATAGCCTCCAAAGCGTGTCTGTCTACAAAGGCAGAGCATTGCTCTCCGAAACTTAAGCAACTGATACAAGAAGAATAACTGATATTTTATTAATAGATGTAGCTGTGTTA